TTGAAGAAGTTTTCTGGAAAGTTTTAGATCTTTAAATGTAATAGTAAAAAAATTATGACAATTTCTATGTAGCGTCAGCGAAACGTCTGACGCGACATTACAACGACATGTATATAAATTATCATAAGTTTTTTGCTATTGAATTTATTTTATTTTAAACGAAACTTTTTTTGTTTATGCTTATCAAATGTGTCACTAAAATATAAAAAAGAACATTTAAAAAAACTGATTTCTACAGCCCCTCCCGAAACATTTTTCTTGCTACGCCACTGAACTTATTTGTATAAAAAATTATAATTTTATACATCATTTTAGTCTTATAGGAAGTATTAACCTTGTTCTTGATATTTGAAAGACGTAAAAGCGGACGTCGCGTTCTCTGAAGAGAATGGAATGTGCGCGCAAATTTACGGTCACCCTATATCTTGTGTAAGTAGTCACGGTATCACATTCGTCAGACAATGAATCGACGTCGCTCGATTGAGGACATCGCATCCATTTCTCTCTTTCTCTCTCTCTCTCTCTCTCTCTCTCTCTCTCCCCCCCCTCTCTCCTTCTCTTTCTCTCTCCTTCTCTTTCTCTCTCGGGCGCTCTCTCTCTCGCTCTCTCTCTTCCCGTTATCGGCAGGTTTCCAGACATAAGACGTTACACATTCGCGCTCGAATCAGAGAAGCGTAAACGTTCTAGATTAAATTAAATTTTGTTGTCCAGTTCTACCAGTGTAGATTAACTTTAATCTCAGTTTAACTTACATTTTTTATCTTTTTATTTGCAAAAGTATGTGTGTACGAATTACTTTTGTGTAGTGAACAAGTTTTCTAATCCTAGAAATAGATAAAAAGCAAGTTTAACTGAAATTAAACTAATCTACATATATTGAAATGGACATTTAGAAGACAATCATGGAACGCAATACAATTTGCTTCTCTTTTACTACACAAATGTGATTTCGCATACGTACTATCGCGAATAAAAAAATCTAGGATTGAATAAAATAAATAAATGCGTGACAACTGAACAAATGAAGAATCAATTATAAACATATTTTTATTCAACATTTTGAAAATTTACATGCTTTAAAAATGTTTAAAATTATCGTGTAAATATAATTGAAGTGTAAAGATAATTAAAATGTGAATATAATTGAAGTGTAAATATTAAACACGTTTCCACAAATTTAATTTACTTTGCAGGAACTTTACGACCAATACATTTTCTTAAATCATGTGCCAATAATCTAAACATTCTCTGAGCCGTATAATATGGTATAGTTAGTTTGATATAGTTAAAGCAGCAGGTATAGAGATGTAAAAAAACGGTATTTTTTGCTTCGGAGAAAAGTGTCAAGTAAAAAACTAATTTTTTACTGTAAAAAACGGTATTTTTGACCAAATTATATAAAATTCATGAAAAACCTTAGAATTTATGTTACGTATGTAGAAAAATAAAATTTATTTTTCTTGTTATTTCGATACTTTTTAATACTTTGGTCTTTATAATTTTATATTGGAGCGGAAATATATATTATTGACTATTACAATTCTTGATGAGAGATGATAATAGGTTAATAGGTTTGCGTTGCTTGCACTCTTTGTATTCAGTATCTGTGCCTTCTCTAATTGCAACGCCCGAATCTATTTTTCTAATAATATCACTTTAAGTGCAAAAATTTTAGGGGATTTCAAGCAATGCGAACAGATCTAAATGACCTAAAAAAAATATCCGAATGAAAAACTGTTAAAGTAAAAGGAAAAAAATCATTAATTTCCGAGTTTTTTTTACTGTAAAAAACGGTATTTTTGACCAAATTACATAAAATTCATGAAAAACCTTAGAATTTATGTTAAATATGTAGAAAAAATAAAATTTATTTTTCTTGTTATTTCGATACTTTTTAATACTTTGGCCTTAAAATTCTAGTATTTTTCCATCGTTTATATCTCTAAGCAGGTATAAAGGAAGCAAGGTTACGTTAGCGATTTCAAGTAAGTATAGTTGAGTGCATGATAACTGATTGCATTTCCAAACTGATCAGTTAAATGGGGTGTGATACATGACGTGCTCGCAGCCTTCTCTGAAGTAGAAGGAGGCAAAATAGGAGAGCCTTAAAATAGATGGTACAATCGTATCGCATTCCATCGATAAAAACGTATCTCTAACAACCGATTTCCTATAGTTTTTAATTCTAACATAAAGACCGGTTTGCAACGCTGTCAGATTACAGATGAAGTTAAACGATCAATATCCGTTTTCACCATGTATAGCTTAATTTTAATTTTGATTCAATTAAAGCTTCATCTTTTTCTAGTTCTAAAAATTAGAAAAACATGAAGAGTAAACTGAGATTAAAGTTACAATTTAAGTTAAACGTGTCCCTTATTATAATATCTTCTTGCAGACTACTGATGTATGCATCTTTGAAAAAATCTTTCTATAATAAAAAATACAGTATGTCATCTTTCATGAAGTATATTACATAAAAACCGCGTATCGCTCTCTTCTCAGGTAAAGGAGATGTGGGAAATGTTAAGGATTATAGAAATAGAAGACTCCTAGGGAAAAGCAGAGTTGTGCACGTTACCTCAAAAAAGTAATGCCGTTACCGTTACTTTTTGAAAAAAGTAACTCGTTACTAATTTTAAAAAGTAACTTGTTACCGTTACCGTTACTTGAAAAGTAATGATTTTTGTTACTTTTTTTTATAATTCTAAAGTAAGTTATTAGATTTTAAAATTATATTAATTGATAATTAATTTAATACTAAATGTGAAATAAATATTCAAACTTGAAAGTCCTTCTATTGCAGACTACTGATGTATGCATCTTTGAAAAAATCTTTCTATAATAAAAAATACAGTATGTCATCTTTCATGAAGTATATTACATAAAAACCGCGTATCGCTCTCTTCTCAGGTAAAGGAGATGTGGGAAATGTTAAGGATTATAGAAATAGAAGACTCCTAGGGAAAAGCAGAGTTGTGCACGTTACCTCAAAAAAGTAATGCCGTTACCGTTACTTTTTGAAAAAAGTAACTCGTTACTAATTTTAAAAAGTAACTTGTTACCGTTACCGTTACTTGAAAAGTAATGATTTTCGTTACTTTTTTTTATAATTCTAAAGTAAGTTATTAGATTTTAAAATTACATTAATTGATAATTAATTTAATACTAAATGTGAAATAAATATTCAAACTTGAAAATCCTTCTACTAACTAGTTTGTATATAGAGCAAGCTTTTCTCTATATTAAACTTACCTACAGTTTTACTAAATTCTTTATTTTACTTACAATTAGATAATATCGTTATTTTAATGTACTCATTTTTATAAGAATTTAGATTAAACAGATTAAACATTGTTTTTAAACGTTAATACTCCCTGGTGGAAATAAATCGATGAAATCTTTATCAATAGACCTATTTCAGTATAATTTGTAATGAAATGAATCAATTGATTGAAATTTCAGCGATTTTCAGCGATTTCAACGATTTATTTCCATCAGAGTTATTATTATGTGTATTTCAATATTTATTGTCCGTACCAAAAATTTACAGTATATATGTATATGTAATGTGAATTATATATTTTCAACATTGGCAGTGCCTATTAGAACACAGTATAAGGTACTAAGTACAAAATACTTTTTAAGAAATTAAGAATAAATTATAAAATAAGAAAATTATAGGGAACTGAAGTAACGGTAAAAGTAACGGCTAAATTCGTTACCGTTACTGTAAAAATGTAACGACGTTACCGTTACCGTTAGACAGAAAAAAGTAACGATCATTATTAAAAAAAGTAACGAAAACGGTAACGGCGTTACAAGTAACGCGTTACTTCCCAACCCTGAGGAAAAGGATAAGTCCCTGTATCAAGGATTGCGTTTCAGTCGCTTCCAGGTAGCATCGCGACGCGGCGCCCGGGTCGTTGTGACGAGAGGAGAGGGTGGTGATTTTTCGCCCTGGGGTGGCGCGAGGGGAATGGAGAACGCACGGCCGGGCCGTTGCTGTTGTCACGACGCGTAGCCATATCGGGAGAGCAGTGCGAGGCCGGCTATCAGCCGCCCAACATCGACGTGTCGGGATTACGCTTGCATATGTAACACGGCTGCTGCACAGGCAGTACGTACACGCACGTACACGTTACCGTCTAGAGTCTAGACCGACAGACAGACAGACGGATGGACAGACAGATAGACAGACAGGTAGACAGATAGGCATACATATATATATATATATATATATATATACATATACATATATAACGGCGCACGCTCTTTGCTCTCCTCCGCCCCCATGCGTGGTACCACCACCGTGTGCGTCTCGTTCTTTCATCGTGTTCACACATGGAAGAACAAGTAGAACGAGCAGGAGGGAACAGTGAAATTTCTTTTTCATCTTGGTGGAAATTGGAGGGGACGAGGTACTTTGCAAATCCGTGCGGCATGCGTCGTGATCGATAAGGGCGAGCGGAGGGCTGGTGCACACCGTCGTCGCCTTTCATAGTAGTAGCAGCAAAAAGGGTAGTTGCTTCGCGTCCCGTGTTGAGGTCGGGAGATGACTGGGAATTCCGATAGGCGGAGAGTGCGACGAGGTAGCGCGCGATAGAGGACGACAGGAGAAAGAGAGTGCAAGTGGGCGAGGCGGATGAAAGAGAGAGAGAGAGCAAGAAAGGGGTGAAAAGTGGGAAAAGAGAAGACGGAGAGAGAGAGAGAGAGAGCGCTGTGAAACGAGAAAAGAAAAGTGATGAATAAACCGTAAGATAAGAAGAGTCGTGAAAAAGATTACCAGAAGAAAACATCAATCGAAATAGAAAAAAAAGAAGGAAGAAGAAACGTGGGTAGTGAGAAGAAGAAAGACAGAAAGCCTGGCAAAACTCGAGAGGGAAGAATCGAGTGAGCGAAAGAGAGGGGAGAGAGACAGAGAGAGGAGAGCTTGCGCGAGAGGCGGAGGAACGTGGAGGAGGACCGACCGTGGTACCGAATGTGGCGTTCGGAGTATGGTATTCGCCAGCCGGGGCCAACCGACGTCGAGCAGCCAGTTTCCACCCGCGCTCGATTCACGGAGTCGTCATCATCGCTGTCGGCGAGTCGCGCACTCGGCGGACGAAATCCCTCGTTAAGAATCGCAGCCGCCACCCGGTAGAATCCTGTCTATCTACCCTGCTCATCGGTATTCGTTCGAACCGAGTCATCCCTAGACTACGACGACGACGACGACGACGACGACGTCGACGACGACGTCTCTCCATCAATAATCGAACAGCGATACAAGAGAGTCCTCCCGGCGACAACGACGACGACGACGACGAGGACGAGGACAGCGACAAGGACGACAACGTTGACGACAACGACGGCGACGACCACGACCACGACCACGACCACGACCACGACCACGACCACGACCACGACTACGACGAAACGACGACGGTGTCACCATCACGCGAGCCGTGTGTCATCGAGCGGATTCGGCGGGGCGACCACCAGGATCCCGTTCCATTCGCTGTGAGAGTGCGACGTCGAACAGTGCGCGATGATGCGATCGCATCCACTACGACGACGACGACGACGAGCGGTCACGATCGAGTGAGAGTGCAACGGAAGAAGAGCGGCACGTCGCGATTGAACTTACATCATCGTCACCGAAGGTAAACGTGTCATCGCATAAAGACTCGTGATGACGCTCTGAGAATTCAAGATGATTCTTCGAGACGAACGTTAACGAGAGTACTTGGCTGACACCAAAAAGATTCTTTCTCCTGTAATTCAATCCTTTCTCAAATACCTTGCACACCTTGTACGGATTCACTATATACTCCAACTTATCAGAACGGCGCCTGTCAATACTCCATATTATTATCAGGGCAACGAGAGGAACAGAACTATGGCAAACCTCGGGTACATCATCGGCGCGAGGAGGAGATGGACAATGGTCAACCGGTACGACCCAGCATTAGGATCCGGGAAGAAAGTCGCGTGTCGCGTCACTACGTCGCGATACTGAGCGACTACTGAGAGCACGCGCCTAGTCCAGGCCAGGCGAACCTCGTCTTCGTGAGATCCTGGTGGTCGTGTGTGCCGGCACACAGTCGGCGGTCGGCACAGGCACGGGGAGGACGATGGCATCGCGCGCCGCGCGCTCCCCCAGGAAGCCGACATCGCGGAAGAGCTCGCGCGCGGATACGCGCCACGGCGCGGACAGCAGTACGAGCACTACGAGCCGTCGTCGATCGGAGTCAACAGTAGTAGCAGCAACGATCAAACACAACAGGGAGCTGCGACAACGGACAATCCCCGGCGACGCAGCAACGGAATCGGTAGCAGTCGCCATACGATTTGCCAGTCGCGTCCTTCGACGGCCCGACGACGTCGAGTGGTAGTCCTTCCCCTTATCCCTCGAACGAGAAGTCAAGGACGAGAGTGGAAAGTGTGTGGAGAGAGAGAGAGAGAGAGAGAGAGAGAGGGAGAGAGAGAGAGAAAGAGAGAGAGAAAGAGAGAGAGGAATCCCCGACGCGCATCGCACACTTCGGGTGGAGAGTCGAGTCCCTGTGTGTCGGACGAGGAAAGTATCCGTAGGGGGGGACCGGGAAACATACGCGCGAGGATGATCGATAACGCCGCCGAGTCGGAGGTCGGGATCGGCGATCGGACCCGTTAGAGGATAGGAAGACGTAGTAATCCGTCCGCAGCAATCCGCAATAGGAGAGGGATAAACAACCGGTGAGCTCGTATACCAGCTCCGTGTCATCGTCATCGCAGTCCCAGAAATCCCAGACAGCGTGGAGGCAAGCGCGTTGATCGACTCCGCGAAGGTTGTCGCCGGAGTACGATAGAGAAGATCTCCAGAGAGGAAGGGATAAAGGAGAGCGGCGGCTCCTTTTCTTTCTCGGTCGAGGCCGTCGCCGCTGAAAAGACGGAAGTATGCCCAGTGAACGACGTGGACGTGGCGAGGACGTCGCGAGATATACCGCGCGAGGGGGCACGCATGAGGACCCATTATCAATTCGCGACTGTGATTTCTAAGCTTAAGGTTATTACCACGTATCGTAAACGCCAGGAGATTATTAACAAACAAAATCGTCCATTGTGATATTATGATATATAACGAAGTGATGATCGCGGGAGGGGTGGGTAGGCACCCACGTGCGCTCTCACGGGGTACCACCGTCACGGGCCGAGCATGAATGAATGAACGAACGCCGCGATGCGAGGCACGATGGCGAGGAGTGCGGCACGCGACGCGAGTGTGTTCGATCGGGATAATAATGGTTGATCGCGGTGCTCGCACGTCGGATCCGCGGACTGTGATATACTGATATAATCTGAGACCCGTTATCCGATCTCACCATCGACAACGCCGAGAGGGCGCCGGCTTATAATTGCGCCTGCACAGGCTGCGCAGGGACGAGGGAGATCGGGACGGGATGACGAATCACCGCCGATGCGGGATTTCATTCGCCACTGTATCCTGATAAATCGCCAGGTGCGTATTTATACAAAAGAAAGTACCAAGTGCTCGCTAATCGATACTCTTTCAGGAACAAATATGAATCTACTGTGCGATATCAAATGGTACAATAGATTCGAAGAAGATGCATAAAGATTCTTTTTAAATGAGAAAGCTAAGAGATACAAAAATTAGATAGACAAAAATAGTTGACAAAAATAAAAAAGTTATATTGATAAAATTTAAATAAATTAATTAATTATCGCGAATTAACAGAAATAATTAATTTTTTATCAAACTTTAAATAAATACCATTTTATTTTCGCGAGCTAACATTTTAATACTACAAAAATTTGATCAAAAATTTGATCGAAAAATTGTTTTTATAAAATATCTACAGATGGGGAAAATTAAAATATATTGCATCGCCCACTACTATACTTATTAAATTAAAAATAAAAATATATGATTTATATGCGCTGACATTTCAGAAAATTGTACTGTATTAATTTTACTCTACATTAAAATTTAACATCAATTAATTAATTTTTTTTTATATTTATTTTGTAGATATAAATTTATTTTTATGACAGCAATATGTTTTATATACTTGAAGTTATATTTTATATACTTGAAAATATTTTTTATACTAGTTGAAAATTATATATTGACTTTCAATTGAGAGAATCTATATAAATATATTGCTACATCTCTGTTGTGCCTGTGTGTATGTGTGTATTTGTTGTGTTATTTAAATTTATGTTTAAATAGAAAATCATTTAGCTATTTTTTGCTTTAATAACTATCATATATAAATCGTATGTTATTATATCTGAATTTATTAAAGAATGTCGTTTTTTTTGGAATGCTGTAAAACAAAATTATAAATTCAATAACTCAAACGCAATATCGTACTTATCGCAATTGTTAACAATTAATTTCGATTAATTTCTAAAGATGTTTTTATTTTGGTTGTTGTTAAATGATTGTATTTTAGTTTGTTTTTTTTTTCATTCGGTATCAATTAAACCAAATAGCATCTCGACCAGTTCAACATCAGTTTTAGTCGAAATATTTATTTAAACATGCACGAGAATATCCGACATTGGAATCGCAAATATTTCGTAGGTACTTCTACCGTGACTACTGACACTGAATACTTGACTCCGAGCATTAAATGAATATTACATAAAAGCAACGTGACGAAAATAGGGCGGCTTGCCACTACCAGATTATGTAATACTTAAACTGGACGGAATTTTCGGATTTTTCTCGAGTATATGACATAGAATTATTTGTATCACTTTAAATTTTCAAAAACAAGGAAAAAGATTTAATTAAAAAATATCGTCGCATAACATCAACTATAATAGTTTTTATCCACTTTGACGGTATCAGCAGAATTCGAATATTCTAAAATGAAGGATACACTTCACTTTATTGCAAATAAAAATTCATTTCTTACAACATAATTAGCTGAGTACACGAATTATTGTCATAATTATTTAATTCATATTTCTCATTGACAATTTTATTAATTTTAAATAGCTAATAATAAAATTTTCTATAACACATTTCTTGGAAGATAAAACTGTTCATAATATAATTAAATTTCACGATATAAATTAAAGAAAAAAAAATAAATTACATTATTTATATTAAAATAAATAATATCGTACATTTTTAGAATGGTCCAAGAAAAATTTAAGCCATGTAAATTCATACAAAAGATTTGGGACATTCATCCTTCGAAGCCTCGACTTCGTTAAAATCACACTTTTGTAATGCAATGCGATTGTTATCTAAGAGCAGTTGCAGTAATGTGGCCTCAACTGCGCTTCACGACGACTCAATCCTCACGCGTGCTTATTATAATCAGATATTCAATGCGTGAAATCCAATACACGTGGGCCGCAGTTCGGGCGCAGAATATTCGCAAATCTGATTTTTGTCTCGCGACGTAAAACACACCGCGGGGAGAAACGTTCTCGAACGCTCGCGCAGAGAGAATTTTCCAATAACGCGATATACCCGACGGTATTTTTCAATTTAAAGTTTAACGAGGGCCACGGTCCACCATCTTTAATACGAACGGTGAAATTTCTATACGATAAAGAGAGCACCGTCGTTTCCGGTGCTTCTTTCCGTCTGATACCAGCCAGAGGGATAACGACACCCCACGATCCTCGATTTTACTTGCCGCATTAATCAAGGAAGTAGTCCGATGATAGTGAACTCTACACAAAACACACGGTCGGGATGATATTCTTCCTTCATCTTCCGATGCACTCGTTTTGATTACATGTCAGGAGTTGAATATCGCAACATTTCCATATGAACCGATCCGATAACGATTTTCGTATCGATAGGAGTAAACAAGCGACGTACCCTCGACAAACTCCTTTGTCAAGTTTGTCGCGCATTAAAATTCAACGCGCACATATTTATTGCTTATTTCGCAAAGTGACTTCGGTCGACTATACGGCTCGATCGGTTTTCAAACATGGTGTCATGCTAAATCGACAAAGTATCGTAAACATTTGTTAACTCGGTGAATTTTGTGACGTTATTCGACGTTATATGTACAGGCTCTAATATCTTTCCAATTCGCGGCTATTTTATTGCTGCATTCATCTTTGTTATTGTCCCGTAACATGCAGTACGCTGGTATCGGTGATTCTCAAATTTGCATAATCGCAACTCTAAATTTCATACTAAAGATATTAAAAGTAGATAACGGACAACATTGCTTTTCAAATGCAAATAAAATGGATTTTGACATTATAATGTTAATAGTGATCAAGAATCCACCAAAAATGTAGATTTAGATATAAAAAGATACTAAAATTTTTATATCTTAATATTTAATAAATATATACATATATTTTATCATTTTAATAACAGCTACCTTACTTAGGATAAAATAGGTCAGAACTATGTAGTTTTTAATTATTCGTACTACCCTGCCTAATTCGCTCGCGGTATGGTTAATCACGTGCTCCCTTTGCATCCCTCATTTTCATACTGTCTATTATTATACTCCTTTTCCATTTTACATGTTTCAGCGGCACCTGAAATGCACGCACCAAGCAACGTTCGTCGCTAAAAGAAGAAGAATTCGTCTGATAACCGAGTGACCGAGGGCGAACATTGATGAAATCGCAACCGAGACGTACAGGCTCGGGGGTGGCCGGTGAATAACGACTATTAACGAAACAAAAAACGAAGATACAGACGAAAGCCGAGGAGACGAGGCCACGTGCGAGGAAGTGCGAGAGGAACGGTAGTGGTGAGGTGCGGTAACCGAGCCCAGTGTGTGTACCACCCCCTGGACACGGGGGGTGGCACAGAAACGCCGTCAGCGTGGGTGCCGGTGCCGCAGGGGCGCGCCTGGCCCGTCGGCTCGCCCGCAGATTAGCACGCCGATTAGCGGCTACCTCGGGCCCTTTCCGGCGTACCGGCCTGGCGACCTCGGCGGGCCTCACGTCGGCGGCGGTGGTCGTGGCGGCCCAGG